CCCTGCAGCCCAAATGTCACTTTTTCTAAATTTTTTCAAAAGTTAATCCTTTCCTAAATGGCAGGAATTGCACTGGGAAATGTCTCTCCAATTCTGCCCTATCCCAGGTGGGTATATACCCTGATCTCTGGGTTCTTTTGAGATAAACATGCCTCTTTTTTTTTTTTTTCTTCTTCTTCACCATCACTATCCTACTTTTTACTCCAATAAAAAATGAAGAACTAACTAAAAAAAAAATCCAATCTTCTTTGTCCTGCTTTCACAAATCAGAATTTCCTCTTCTTGCAAGCAGTTAGAGAAGAGTTCTTATAAGACATAAATGAAAGACAACGTGGTCTCATCTGCTAGATTTTATGGCTCACTGGATTTAACACCATATTTTACTCTGGCTCTACCACTGTCAGGTACCATGAAGTATAAACTTAACAGAGAAATGTAAGAAAAAAGAAAGCTGTGTAAACTGAAAGCTTATTTTGCATGATTTTGCACGCTACCTCACATTTCACTGACAATACACATTTATCAGATGCAGACAAGCAGATCTACTGACATAACATAATTCTTCACTGAGGCCATCTGCAGAATATTTAATGAGGAATGCCTTTCCTGTAAAGAAGTGTTCACAGAACTAAAAAAGAAATCAATTTCATTCTCCCTTTCTCAGTCTCTAAGAGAACTTCCCCATCTGTCCTGCCTGACATCTCTGTCAGCATTCCCATGTGTCCAGGGAAGTTTCAGCCCCATAGTCCCCAGCTGGAACAGAGGGAACGCAGCACCAACGCCTGCTGGAGAGTTAAAGATCAGCTCTTTGGCTGCCAAACCTCAATGGCTCTTTTCTGCACCACTGAAAAGCAACGAGGGTGCTTCAGTGAACATTCTAGGTTGAGGCAGATGAATAGTTGAAGCTGCTTTTCTGGTCCATCCTCTGCGTGTAGGCTGGCACCCTGCCATGGATCCCAAAGGCCCACGTGGCTTCTGCTGCATGCTCCACTCAGATTATATTGGTTTTCTATGAAAAACTTGTATTCCATTACGTTACCAGAGTGATCCTAAGGCTGTGGATGAGGAAGAACTCCCTTAACAAACACACGTCCTTCCCTTTTCATTTGGGTTTTTCCGGTCAGCCTCAGCCTAGGGATGCTCAGTGAACCATATCCTGAGCATGAGAGATGTGCTTGAATGCTCCAGAGAGGAGAGAGACTGCACAGGAGAAGGACTCAAAGGTAATTTCACCTCCACCACTTCTCTCATTTAGAAGGAAAGAGCCACCTGGACCTTGTCATGTCCCCAAAGAACCACCTGAACTGGAAAAGGGGGACAGGGAGTTTACCTGCAGGTAGAGATTGGCTTCCAGTACCCTGCATGAAAATGTTACCAGGGAGCTCTCAGGGGGACAAAGACCCTGTGGCTTTGCCCCAGGACAGCACAACCACGTCTCTGTTAGAGAGTACTTGGGACAACCAAAGTCAGCAGAAGATTAGAAGGAAATCAACTTCCCTTCTCCTTTACACACCTTTTTGAGAATCCATTGCTTATGGCCACCACAACAAACTGCATTACACCTTACAGTATAAAGTAGCATGTGCAAAGTATCATCCACAGGCCTAGGGATCTTGATCTTTAGCTCTTCGTAGTTTATTAAAACCAGTTTTGTATATTTTTAAAACACTGGCGTCTTCAGGGATTATCCATAAAGATGGGATGTGTGTGACAGAATCTGATGGATATTCAACTTATATTTCATGTTTTCTTTCTCATGTCAGGCTCTGTCTGGCTGGTATGTTGAAATCTTTTGATTAAATCCTCTTCCTTCACTGCTTCCTTATTGAAACTCACCCTTTGTCTGGCAAAATTTTAATTACTACAGGACTGCATAACTCCATTCAGTGCTCTGATAATACCTCTGTGATAGGAGCAAAAGCAATTCCTAAGATAGAATGCAACTATAATACTCTATCATTATGTCTTCTTTTATGGCTCCTAGCACCCTCTTTATGGCTGCTAATATATTGTGGTTTCTGCCTTTCACGTACCGATTTCTGCTCTCCTTCACTCAATGTGTCCTTTTCTCACCCAGAGAATTAACACCCTATCTCTGTAATCTCTTTCCTGCTCCCAGACATAATGTAGGGAAGGTCTCTTCTCCTTCTCATGTTATTCTTTCCCATCTCTCAAAGACAGGGGTTTGTACAATGCTCTGCATGTTCTGCAACACAATCAGCATCCAGGATGTGCTGCTCTGCTCTCAGGGTGCCTGGGGTGCCTTCAGGCACGCTGGGTGAACCTAACCCAAGAGTCAGAGCAGGAATGCTCTAATCTTCAGAGGACTGAAGGAAAACTGAACTGAACAAGCTTAACTACACCCCCAGAGAGGAAAGCAAAGCAGCTTTTCCTCCCTCTTGGCTCTGCTGGGTTGCTGACTCCCATTGACACCAAGTAACCATTAAAAACAGGCCAGGTTCTACTCCAACAGGACAGGTAGAATTTTAGAAATGAAATGTACACATACGTTACCCTGTAATTCTAATTTAAAATTCCACTTGAGAATTAATAGCAATGGCCTCCCTTTCAGGCAGTCCTCTCCACTTCCACTCTCACAGCAGCTGTATTGGCTCACACTATCAAAAACCTTAAGGGGAACAGGTCAGTTGAAAATCACTGCTCTGAGATAACATATTTCTACACCCGAGGAGCCAAAAAGCAGCAATTAAGCACAGCAAAATAAATAATTCAATAGCTAATTTGACCTGCCAGGTTGCAGAGTATTTTTTTATATCCTACCAGATTGTAATTTAGTTTAGAAGAAGTGTCCCTGGAGAGCTATGCTGTGAGAGCCCATAAAATGCTATAGTATGATATCAGGCAAAAAGCCACCTGTAAATGGGCCACTATTGTTTAAAGAAGTTTTTTTTGTTGTCAGTCCTGCATATTTCATGAGAAAGTGATGAAGTCTTTCTTTGATTCTTTATGAATTAATCTGCCAACTGATTAGGCAGGTAAAGCAGCCATAGATTGGGAAACTAAATTGCACTGCAGGCACTTGACTTTTAGATGGAACACAAACCAAACAGAAAGCTAAATGCTCTTTTCTGTGGTAAAGGAATTGGCTTGTTTTTAATTGCCTCACAAATAATCCATAGACAGCTTTTAGTGGGAGCAATCCATGTGGCCTCTGAATACATAAATAAGCATTGAAAATGGGTGGAAATATTCAGGCAAGGTGCAACTTAGTGGGAGAATAGAACAGCAGAGCCTTAACAGGAGACTCCCACCTGATTCCTGAGTTTGTAGGGCTGTGGAGTGGGGGCAGTGCTAACCTGGTGGGAAAAAATAGAGCAGTCCAGATGGAAGGACTTCAGTCCCTCCCAGTCAAAGGAGATGAGATGAAAATGGAGATGACAGGCAACCCCATGTGCACAGGTGGACAGAACTAAAACAGGAGGAGTGGCAGGAGCAGGGGTTGAGATGGCTCTGAGCAGCCACAAGGGTTGAGTGGAGCAAGAGGAGAAACACCAGCAGGGAACACTCTGAGCCCACAGGTGCAGCTCTGAAATGAAGGGGCACAGGAGCTCCTGGAGCACGTTTCTGTCCCCACTGATCACCGAGTGCCCCACAGCAGGGCCAGAGCCTGGCTGAGACCCGAGAGCTCTGCTGGAAGGAGGGTGCACCAGGCAGGGGGCAGAAAACACAAACCTTTTGTCTTGGATATACACACTCTCATTTACTGAGCACTCCAGGTTCTTGCTCTGCTGATTTCAACCCTTTCTGACATCAAGGCGAAGCAGTACAGTAAAAAACCAAACCCTAACAAACCCCAAAGCAACCACAAAGCCCTTTTCTGCTTACTGACACCACTGCTGATCTTCCCTGAGTACAGTACCTCAGTCAGATCTCAATGTCTTTATAAAATGATAACAAAATTCTCCTCAAGCCCCAAAAAACTGCAGCTTGGGCAGGACAAGCACTGGGGACAGCACCCAGAGCATGCTGTCCCCAGGCCCTGATCCTGTCCCATAGCTGGTATTACCCTAGAGGAATGTTTGAAAAAATTTGAAAGATCTACTTGCTTTAAAAGCAAATAAATAAATTAAACCAACTCTTAAGCTTCTAGAAAATTACTACAGCTGCTATTATAGTCTAACATAGTCCTAAGGAATAAAAATGCGATGATCATAAAACAGGTGCACTACAAGACTTATTTTATTGCATCTTCCATTTTATAAAGATATTCATGAACATATAAAAATAAACACTCTACTCCTTTGCAATTAAGTTTCTCTCTAGTTGTAAGTACAGCTATTTTTAGTTTTAATTTGAGGATATCTCCCAGAATTGCAGAGCATAATCATTTCCACCATAACTCTGCATCATCATTATCAAATACCAGCCTATCTTTGGAAAATGCATGTTTTACATGCTGAAGGTCCCAGAAGTCCTTTTGCAGCTGATGGTACAGATCAGCTCCTACAGTCCCAACTTCCAGTAATGCCAAATATTGGCCACCAAGTGGTGCTACAAAGGTTTATTCCAAATGCAGTTCTGGCCCATTAAACCAAAAGGCGATGGGGAAAGTCATGCTAATTTCAAGCCCTATTAAAATTGCAGGCAATAATTTAATGTTTCCCTCAAATGTAAATGCAAGAAAATTTATGAGGAAATCAGATTGGTATTCAAGTTTTTAAGAAGAAATGATAGAAAATGACAAGGAGGTAAAAGAAGCACTTGAAATCCTCCAGCCCTGAGCCTCCTTAACCATGACTCCCCATCTGACTGCTTTGGGATTTCACAGCCATTGTGGTTCCAATTAATTCTCTCTCCACAGAGCCATGCTAGACCAGGCACAACAGATTTTTTTACGGCCTTGCAGCCATTGCAGGAGCCTGTCAGCAATGCTGCAATAATCAGGAGCACAATTCAGGAGTGCTTGCTGAGGTGATCCCTGCAGCTGAGCACAGCCCTGTCCCAGTGCCACTGCCCCTGTGGGCACAGCCAGCACTCACCAGCCAATGTTGAACTCCACGTGGGCATCAAAGAACCCCACCACAGGGGATGTTGCTGCTTTCCAGCCCTGGATCCTGGCTCGGATCAGCCCCTCGCGTTTGTTGTTGCGCACGATCTTCACCAGGCCTGGGTACCTCTTATGGACATACTGGTCCAGGTTAAACTTCAGCTCCACTGCAGGACAAAATCAAAACACACACAAGCATTTAGAATCAGAAAGGCCCTGCAATGTTGTGTTTATTCTGCAACAGAAAGGGAGAGGAGTCCTTATATATTCCCAAACCCCTGGTGAGTCTGACAGATACAAACCCAGTACTGCAGCCGAGGCGTGGAGCAGTTCCAGTGGTTTCAGCCCAGAGAAATTCTGCACACACCAGAGACTTGCCCAGCTTTAATATGGCCTGATTTATTTGAGTGTCATGTTGAACAGTTAGTTTGTCTACATATTTTTAAAAAAATTACTATTCTGACTCTCTGATGATTTGTATTAGGTTACAACTGGGCTCTGGAAGAGCAATTCTACCATAAGCAAGTGTAACATGCCAGTCTGGTGATCTTTTTTTTTCTGATTTATGCTGTTCAGTAGGAGTTAGAAAAATAACCTCAATGGATTTTGGGTCAAGATGTAATTCAGATCACAATTAATTTCCCTTAATTTTCAGGGTTTTCCCTTAAATATAATTAAGATTTTTCAATACCAGGCTTCTTTCCTTTTTAACTAAATGGATATTGAAGATCTCAAATAGACTTCTCTTTTGTTCATTTTCAGGCATTCAATCACAGACGGAGCAGAACTCATTCACCCTTTTTCAGCTTTCATTTCAAGAGGCTTATAAACAGGCAAATTACCAAAATGGTCTCTCTCTATTTTTTTATTTTAAATCAATGTAGTTTGGTAATTCATTTACACTGCAACTCATTAATAAAGTGACTTTTGCCTGAATATCTTTATCAGAAAAACTAGTAGAAGCTTCCAGGACATTAGCAGCCTCATTTTTCTGATCTATATTAGACAGTAGAATCATTATCATTAGAATCAAAGACTTGATAAATCTCCAGTTATTTAGAAGAGTGGCAGAGAAAAGCCATATAAGAGTTCACTGAGAAATGATGAGTTCAATTCTCCTCAGGATTGCCTTGACTCAAACACTTTGCAGTCTCACATAATTACTCCACAGGTTACAGTGCCATAAATGAGATCTGAATTGCATAAACATTTTCTTAAACCTATAGGTTTTGGAACTTAATTTTGTTTGAGTTATCTCTTCTCTCAGCTCTTCCTTCTCTTCAGGGATCTTGAAGAGTAAGAGCAACTCAAAACTGAAAGAACTTAAAGCTGTTGATCTGAGGAGGAAATGCTAAATTTTAGGCTTATTGGAAATAAATATTATTTTAGAAGATGAATCAGTTCTAGAAGTGTAATGTACAAGTTTAAACATGACAACACCAGTCCCTTGTATCCTGAGAATCTTCTAACATGACTGTATTGTGAAATATGCTGATAATAGCACCCTACATGCTCACCAATATTTGGATTTTGGACTAAATAATGAAGAACCAATGTGCTGCCGTATAAAAGAGTAGCAATTATCTTTAAAGAGAATCTGTAGCCTTGCTTTTCCTTGGCAGCAGAATTTAAACTTTTATTCTAATAATGATGATATTCCTCTGGATTTGGAGAAAAGTGTCCTGTTAAGATTGCCTACATAAATGCCACTCATTCTGTTAGGATTTCAATGAAATCAACAGGCTTTATCCACATAATGTTTATTTGTTATACAAATAGTCAATATTTACTCACAGCTTTGTGCAAATGGCTCAATCAACCCTCTCATCAAGAAAGACATTTACATTTCACACCTAGAAATCACACGGGGCACAGTGCTCAGAGGCAGACTGACAGAAGCTCACCGTTGTCACTGTTGTCATCCACCAGGATGATCTCCTTGAGCAGGTGGGATGGGGTGTGGTTCACCACGCTGTGCACAGAGCGCAGGATGACAGAGAGAGCCTCGTTCACAAAGATAAACACCACCGAGATCTGGGGCAGGTCCTCTGGGTAGCTCATCTGCTTGCACCTGGAGAGAAAGACACAATTAAAACCCAAGCAGCCACTGGCAGGCAAAACAGACTGATGAGCATCCTTTCCTTGCTCTCCATCTGTGTAGGGAACTGCAGACTTTGTCCTTTTTTGATGCCTGAGGTTTTAGTTTTTATATTTTTCATATTCTGTGCTGCTTTAGTGTGTAATCCTGAGCTTCATAATAGGGGATGGTGAGCTGTCTTCACAGAGTAGGGAGACAAAACAATTCCTTCTCTACCTGGGGGCCAAGGACAAATGATCCAAATTTCAGGCCCAAGTACATAAACAATGTGGACTGAAGAGAGAAAAACAAGAAGGATGTGATTTCACAAGCTAAAGCTCTAATTGGACAATTAATTCCAATATGAAAATGGACCAGAACTTAAAGAAGTGTGAGACCTTGTGACCAGTCATCCATTTTGTGACCATTTTGGTTCATCTTGGGTGTGGCCCTGGCTGGGTTCTTGTGCTGCCCAAGGTGGATCCATGGAGGTCTTTTAATGAATCCCTGCTTTATTCTTTATTCTGTCTAGCCCCTGTTCTAGGTCAGCCTTCAGAAGGCAGCATTCTAACTCCAAGGAAAGATGTGGTAAAGGCTCAAAAGCATCAACCTGGTTAGGAGCAGGCCTCTCCATCAGCCCAGTGTAAAACACAGGGTGTGTGCATGCACACAGATTTGTAGCAGCTCTCGTTCCCTGTGAGGTTAAAAGCATCTCTTGAAAACCAAAGGACTTGCTGCTTTAGTGTGTAATCCTGAGCTTTACATTAGGGGATGATGAGCTCTCTTCACAGAGTAGAGAGACAAAACAATTTCTTCTCTAAGTGGAGACCAAGGACATTGAAAACCAAAGGACTTTCAATGACTCTGCTCAAAAACAACCTGGAGAAGGCCTAAAATGGCACACCCTGGCTGTGCTCCATGGGGAACCTCCAGCAGCTCTGCTGCTAACTCACAACTGCAGCAGAACTTTAAAACCAGCATTTTGTCAAGCAAATTTTGCATTTGCCCACAGAGAGAGCACCTGCCACCCTTTCTGACTGCCCAGTTTGTGCAGCAGTGACAGACACATGGTGGTTGTTGCACAGGCCTGCACTTGCTCAATTATCTGCAAACAGGTCTGCTCCCTCTCAGATGTTGCCTTGCTAGGCTGCTTCATCCTCATTCACAATTTGCTTTTGTGCTGCTCACTGATAGATATATTTTACGACAGACCATTTTGAGAAGAAAACTGAGGCCTGGAGAAGTTCCACAGCACAGAGCAGAGCTCCTGCTTCCCAAGTCCTCAGCCCATGCCCTTCTGTAACACCACATTGCCTTATTTCAGTGGGATCCTCTCCCATTAGCAAAGAGGCTAGCTTTAAAAACTACCTACCTGTTCTCACTGTCAAAAAGCCATTCAGAATTACCATAGCAATTGCTGAACTTGCTCTCTAAAATACTGCTAATGATATCACAGAAAATGACTTCTCATGCTCTTATCAAACTTTCTGACCTCTATGCTCATTACTTTGGCATAACAATCACTTTTTTCCTCACTATCAGCAGTCATGGGGATAGGGCAGGTGACAAATGCTTGACTACTGAGTAACCTCTGGAAGTCAGTTATGAATTCTAGTAAAGTGTAATTATTCATAATTCCTGATCCCAGCACTATTAACTGAGAGACCTGAGCACTCATCATTGATTCCAGTGCTACCATAGCTACTTACTGGCAGGGCAGCTTGCTGGTGGCCTGTGCCACACAGAGGACCACTGTGTAAAACTTCTGGCTAAGCAGCATTCTTACACAGCCTAAAAATAAGCCTGAACAAGGAGAGAGGTTTTCAGGAGGCATGAATGTTCTGACACAGCCCTCTCTTTTGAATTTCTTTTTTGAATGCAATTTTCCTCTTGAGCACACTGACTTATCAAAGAAGTGCATCAGGAATACTGCAGTAACAGGAAAGAGCCATCAGCTAAAAACATGGACCTTGCAAGATTTCCTGTGATGAGGGACATCTTTTACCTGGCAGCAATTTTCTCTAGAGTCCCACACATCCCAAACTGCATGTCAGGAAATCAGACCAGTCCCCAGGGAGGGGGGGCCCTGCTGGTGCAGGTGAGGCAGAGGAGGGAGCCCACCCCAGCCCATCCCTCCTCGTGGGGTCCTGCAGCAGCACTCAGAGCTGGCAGGGAAGGAGGGGGGGAAGGAAAGTGTGAAACCATCTGTGATGCCTCAGGTTTTAGCTTTTATATTTTTCATATTCTGTGCTGCTTTAGTGTGTAATCCTGAGCTTTACATTAGGGGATGATGAGCTCTCTTCACAGAGTAGAGAGACAAAACAATTTCTTCTCTAAGTGGAGACCAAGGACAAATGATCCAAATTTCAGGCCCAAGAGCATAAACAACTTGGGCTGAAGAGAGAAAAACAAGAAGGATGGGACTGCATAAAAAGCAATAACTGGACAATTAATTCCAATATGTAAATGGACCAGAGCTTATAAATGTGAGAGACCTTGTGACCAGTCATCCATTTTGTGACCATTTTGGTTCATCTTGGGTGTGGCCAAGGTGGGCTCTTGTGCTGCCCAAGGTGGATCCATGGAGGCCTTTTAATAAATCCCTGTTTTATTCTTTAGCTCTGTCTAGTCTCTGTTCTAGGTCAGCCTTCACAAGGCATCATCTGGAGACAAAACAAGAGGTTGTGGCACAGGAGGAGGAATTACAGCAAGAATGAGAGGCCACTCAAAGCAGCACTTACTACAGAAAGGACAAGCAATTAAAGGAAAGGTGGGACCACCACACATGTCCAAAATAGAGAGGCATGTGTGGAAGGACTGAAGTTTCCTGGGAACAGACAGGGAACCACTGAAATACTACAGCACCTCAGAGAATTAGGAATTTTGCTGAATATTTCTGAGTAAAAGGTATTTGTTTTATTGGCAAGTGAACTTAAACACCTGGGCACCCAGCCACGTGTTCCTGGTCAGACTGATAGGGTAACTACAAGTGGGACTAATTCCAGTGCTTTTCTGCCATCTTCCCACTTCCATTCTGAGAAAAAAAAAAAAAAAAAATCTAATTCTAGCTTTAAAACCAGTACACCTAAACCATAACCTCCTAATTTTTGATTTATTTATTCTTCATCACATTAAATCAATGCATTATGTCCCAAGTGTGGCTCCATGGCCTTGCTGGTTCACAAGACTTTTCATGCCTTAGTTCTCAGTGATTACTTACACTGTAGGGCATCAAGGACTGCTTTAGATAAAAAGCTGGTTTGAATTTCTTATTCCACCAGGATGAAGTAATGCCTATCACTTCTCACTGCAACCTTTGTCTGTCAGTTCTTCCCTTTTTTTTTTCTATTAGCAGGACATAGCTGAAAAACTGCATTTTGACAGCATTTGGAAAGAACACTCCAAACAAAATATATTGGAATATCTTTGGTAGTGCCTCTGCAACAGGAACACCTAGATGGGAAAAAGCAAACCTCAGAATTTAGCAGTAGTTTAAAACCTGTCATAAATTTATTTATTGCAGTGAGGATGAAGAACAGCAAAAGCAGCTGTCCAGCTGAGCACTTTCCAAAGCACAGCAGTGATTTAAGGGTTTATTTCCTGCAGACTTCAAGTCAACCTTGAACTCCCAACTCCTTAGGTCACTTCACAAAATGAGATTGATGTGCTGAGGTAGTCAGGAGAAATTACTGGTCCACTACCAAACACTTGAGATGATGTTTGAGAGCATGAGCAATCCCAGTTAAGGTGTCTTTCCTTAAAAATCAGTGGGTGCTTTAAGTGCTTTGCTGGATTGTCGCCCGAGCTCTTCCCAAAGTGTTCTCTAATTAGACACCAGCCACAGCAATTTACAGTTAACACTTCCTTCATTCCAAGAAACTCTAACCAGAGCTTGACTCTCCTAGCCAAACAGTGACATTAGCAAGCCTCACGCTGCCAGAGCACACCCATGGCTGTCACCTCAGCCACCTTTGCTCAGCCAGGGGCTCACAAGTGCACTGCAGTGGGTCAGCCAGTGCTGCCTGTAAGCAAGGGACACCAAGAGTGACAGAGTTCTCCTTGGAGCAGCCCTGGACTGGCCCTGGAGGAGGCAGCAAGGGACAGTTCATCATAGAGGGAAAGGGAAGGCTGTAACAAGCATGTTGACTTCCAACAAGTCAAAGGGCATCCTTGCAGAAAAGGGCTGGAACAGCAGCCTGGACACAGAGGAAATCATCAGGCAAGAAACCTATGAGCTAATGATGGGGCAGCTTAGCACAAGACTAGCCACTTGTATTATTTCTTTTCAGAAGAAAATGACCAGAATGAAAAGAAATCAAACTGTACAAAATGCACTAGCAAGGCACACTTGTATAATCCTTCAGCCTTACTGCCAACAGAACCATAGTAAGAAAATTGGAAATCATCCCTTTTTCAGCCCTGATGCTGTGCAGTGCCTGAATGTTTAAAGCTCCCAGTGCTCTGCCAGGGAAAGGAGCTGGATCCCACCCCAGTCTCCACTTCTCTGCACCAGGTCTGACCACACTGTGAACTGTGTGAAGAAGAACAATTTCAGCAACTGACAGCTGAAACCTGGCCTTGTTAACATCCAACACTCCTGAGTTTGGGAAGAATTGAGTGTACATTTGACCTCTGTGGTAGCTAAAGATGGTGAGAGCTGGGCAGGCATAGCTTACATTCAATATTCCTGTAATTTAAATCAGCATTCAGAACTGTCAGCAGGTCCCACAGAGTACAACCAGCAGAGGAGCCCAGGTCTCCAGGGCACACAGGTACCTGGGCAGGGACACAATGCTGATGCCTGCAGGACCAGGGATTCCAGCAAAGGCTGACAATGCCATGGCTAATCACTTCCATGGGCCAGCTGAGGATGGATTAGACCTGATATGTGAGGCAGCCCTGCAGGCTCTTTTCATACAGCATGCCAAGCATCAAACCTGGGGCATCCTGCTGTTGTCTTGGGAAAGGTCTTTGAGTGTGCTCATTCTGTATTT